CCTCCCGAGTGCTGGGATTAAAAGCATGTGCCACCAACGCCTGGCTGTACATAAACATTTTAAACTAACATTTTGTGATTAGCGGTTGTAAAAGCTGGCCGATGTGTTGGCACAGCTCTGAGCACCCCTCCCCCCCCAAGAGCTTAAGCAGTAGGGCAGGTGAACCAGTACAGATAAGCTTACTTGGCACTGTCCAAGTCACAGTGACATTAAAAGCATTTTAAATCTTAAAATATATTTTTCTGTCCTGGGTGTAACCCTTGACCATAAAAAGGGAAACATGTAACTTTCTCTTGGGGCTGTGAAGTCAATTTAGATTTTGTAGCCCTGGCCAGTTAGAGAAATTTTTTTTTGGGGGGGGCTGTACCTGAACAAAGGCCATAAATCTAAGGTTATGAATTGTGCAAAGAGTTAATCATTGTCCTCGATTATCAGTCAGACCTGGCACAGCAATTAAGTTGCTTGGAACTTTTTACCTTGGTTCAACAGATCAGACTGTTTGTTATATGTCCTTCTAAATAGTATTGTTTTCTTCTGGGAATAGTTTACCTTGGAAACCATTAGCAAGGCACCTGAACTAATCCAAAGCTAAGTTGAAGTTTTGTATCAGTTGATAGGATTGGAATATCTCGGAAGCTGGAGAAAATACAGCTGTTTTCTAAAGCTGTGTTCCAAGACAGCTCTCAGGGGGAGCTTATAACCCCTGACTTGAGTAGCATCTCTTTGTATTCATCAAAACTCTGTATAGGTTAACATTCTTAATATCAGTTGGATAATACAGCTAAAGAGGAGTCACTTTCTTGACAATCCACAGATAGAAATGCCCAGTAAATGGGATTGTATTCAGGAGATAAACACCTACTAGATACAGGCAGTGGGGGATTCCCTATAGCCACTAGGTAAAGATTGCAATAGCATATGTGAAGTTACATTCAGAAGCAGATATTCCCGATTCTGTATTCTTATAGCCTTGCTTAAAGGAGATTTCTCCATTAGAGAGTTTGTTTCTGGTGGGTTGGCACCTTGAGTATTAATTGCCATCTACTGTATTAAATGATAATGGCCTGCAGCAACTGATAACTTAACAATGAGATGATCAGAGCGTACTGGCTCCCAAGTATGTCTTAGGTGAAGATGAGGTTCCCCAGGACTCAAATTACCAGAACCAGGACGGCCCAGCCCCATCTGGCAGGACCTGAGGATCCCAGGCTGTCTTTAGACATCCCATGGGGTTCTGTATCTTGGCTCCCTACTTCCGTCCTCCCTTCTGGTTCTGGTGAAATGAGGCCTTCACCTCCTGCTCCAGGCCCTTCTCTTCCTTGGTGACACCCTTCTCTGTCCCTGTCCCTTTGGGGCCTCAGCTGTGGTGGCAATACCAGGATATAGGCTTTGGGAGGGTTCCTCCACTGGGCTCTGTTTCTCTGTGAGTGAGTCTCCTCCTTTGTCTCCTGTGCTCTGCAGTACGTTCCTCAGGACCTCCTTCCTGTGTACAGGGACAAAGTGGTGCCCGTGGCAGACATCATCACTCCCAACCAGTTTGAGGCTGAGTAAGTAACTGCATAACCAGAAGGGCCAGCTGCCCTGTGAGCCCTGCAGAACCTTGCACCATCTTCACTGTGCCCTAGCAGCCCCACATCTGCTTGCTGGGGTCCCTTTCTGTCCCTTAGAAAGCCTGGCCTGCACTAGACTGGTCATGTCACCCTTGTCCCTATAAACATGTGTCCCTTACCCCTGCAGTGATTCCCATCACCTCTAAGGCAATGACAAGTGCTCTTTAGCTCTGGTCATTTGTCATGATCATGTCGGCTCACAGTCTCTCTCTGCTGGGAAGATGCTCCAAGAAGAGAAAGAGGAGTTGATACCTGTCCATCTGAGGGCTCATGTGGCTGGGAACCTCCCCCCCCCCCCCCCCCCCCGGGTGGAACTGCAGGGCACAGATGTCTGTCAGAGCTCAGAGCACATGGCCCCTGATTAGCTCAAGAGTCAGCTTCTAAGAAACCTTCCAGTTACCAGACTTACAGGGCATAGGCCTCTCTGTCCTATGAGCAGGGAACCTGCAAGCCTTGGATGCACCCACTGGTGGGCGTTTTTAGACTCAATAGCTGAGGGCCCTGTACCAGGCTTTCTCTTTTGGGCTACAAACCAGCTCCCAAATCATGACACGTAGGCATTCACCACAGTTTGGAACCTCACCATGTATGTGAGTTTCCTTATTTTCCTTACATTTCACTCTTGCCCTTTCCCACTGTTCCGTGAGTGTCACTGCCTCCCCTGGTTCCTTTGGCCAGTAGAAGCGGCAATGGCCTCTTTTGGGATGTAGGTCAGTTGCCAGGATGGCTGTACTGTAGGGACTGGCTCACCACTCCCATCTGTGTTACAGGTTGCTGAGTGGTAGAAAAATCGACAGTGAGGAAGAAGCCCTGGAGGTAAGGAGACCTTCACACACAGCCCTGTTCACAGGGAGGGAGACCTTCACACACAGCCTTGTTCATGGGGAAGGAAACCTTCACACAGCCCTGTTCACAGGGAAGGAGACCTTCACACACAGCCCTGTTCATGGCAAAGGAGACCTTCACACACGGTCCTGTTCATGGGGAGGGAGACCTTCACACACGGTCCTGTTCATGGCGAAGGAGACCTTCACACATGTCATAGCTTGTCTATGTATAAGGCTGTCTTTGTGACTGGGAATCTTGCGTCCAACTTCCTGGCCATCCACAGCTCCATCCATATGTGCCCAGCAAGTATAAAATTCCACCAAAGGGCTATGGAAGGAGCCCCACAGCTGCTTTTTTTAGGCAGGCACATTAGTGGTACCCGAGAAAGTTACAGGAACAATAAGCATCCAGTAAATAACCCCAAGATTTTTCCATGTAAGGCTCCCCAATAACACCTGGTGAGTCAGCTTTGCCATGTTGGACTCTCCAACAATGTCTAGTGGGTCGACTTGTTAAATACTAGTTGTTACTGCTGTACAGTGCCACAGCCCTTTGCACTTTGTCCCTTCTATACTCAGTCCACCCTGTGTCCTTCTCTGTGACCTGTAACTGCCATACCAAAGCATCCTGTCAGAGCGCTGGAGTCTGAAAGCCCCAGATTCAGGTGTGAAATAGGGTGCAGTCTCTCCAAGTCCCCCAGGAGTCCTTCCTGCCATCTCTAGCTCCTTTTGCTGTGGGTGTAAGGAATTGACTCATGACCTGACTGCCTCATGACACAGTCATGCTCCTCTGTTACTGTTCTTATAGGACAGGAGTCATCTTTTTAAGACAGTGAGGTACAGTCCTCTCATCTGTGACCTCTGCTTATTATTATTAAAAAAACAAACAAACAGCAAAAAGAAAGACAAGCCAGTTTGGTGAGAAGCCTGCTTCTCACAGGTGGATATGATAAGCTTCCCATTCCCTAAGAAGTTGGAGCGGGTCCCCCAGGCAACCCCAAATTTCCAGACTCTGAACTCACAATGGCCCTAACAGGTGGCAGAGCACAAGCTTGGCCATGTGTGTGTGCAATGTCCCAGGTTCTCTAGAAGCCTGTCAAGCATGCTAGTCACTCCTGACTGCTTCAGCTCTGGAGGCAGAGGACAGTGTCCCACCAGGATCTGTCCCCATGAGATGCTTGTCTGTCAGGAAGAACCACCGTGGCTGGATGTGCTGACACTCTCCCCTTGCTGCTGGCAGGTGATGGACATGCTGCATTGCATGGGTCCTGACACCGTGGTCATCACCAGCTCTGACCTGCCCTCCCCACAGGGCACTGACTACCTGATCGCACTGGGCAGCCAGAGGATGCGTAAGTGCCTGCTCTACCTGCCCTTGCATGCCCCTTGGCTCCATCTGCTTCCGTCGCCCATGGCTTTCAGGCCCCAGAGAGTAGGTGGGGCTCAAGGAGGGAGACTGTTACTTGGTCAGCAAGTGGAAGGTACCTCTTGCCCTTCAGTAGAGTCAGACAGAAGGAAGGTTCAGGGGAGGGCTGTGTGGAACTAGGGGGTGGAGGCTAGATGAGGTACTGGGGACATGCACAGGCTCACGCACTCCAACTGGCCAGATGCTCAGCTATCCATGCTGTGCTGGGACCACCAGGCTCTCCTTTCTGGTGAACTACTGTACAATCAGTGACTTATGCCAGAGGCCAGCTGAGTCTGGCTTCTGTGGCTCAGGAGTTTCCAGGGAGTAGGTAACTGCTGAATTCAGTGACTGGTTATATAAACAGCACATGAGTTAATTATGCTTGAATAATGTCCCAGTACAGAGCTGGTCACGGGCTGACAGGAACCCCAAGTTCACATGCACTGTCTCTACTGAGTGTTCTGGATACACAAGGATAAAGGGAAGGCATCTGACTGAATCCACCTGTGGGGCACACACACACACACACACACACACACACACACACACACACACACACACACACACACACACACACACACATGTACACCCACGTACACACACGTACACACATACACCCACATGTACACACTCACACATTTACACACACGTATGTACACACACACACACACACACACACACACACACACTCACACTCACACACAAGCAGTGCACCCAGGATGTTCCTGGCACTCTGACTGTGTAAGGCCATGCTAGTTTCAGCTTCTAAGGGTCCAGTGTTTCATTCCCGTTTGGGACATTGGTGGCAATGGGGGACAGTTATGACAGCCCACATGGAGACCCAGAGCTCCTGAAGGATGCACACCACATATGTGTGGCCACTCCTAAGGCTGGACAGTGCTAACCTTTCTATCACTTCAGGAGAAGTAGGGACGAGTTAGGCTGACAGGTTCCCACTGCAGGGGCGGCCCTTGTCTAGCTGAGAAGTCTCAGACCCAGTGACCTGGCTTATGTCCTCCCTAGGGAAGCCTGATGGCTCCACGGTGACCCAACGCATCCGGATGGAGATGCGCAAGGTGAATGCCGTCTTCGTGGGCACTGGGGACTTGTTTGCTGCCATGCTTCTGGCGTGGACACACAAGCACCCAGACAATCTGAAGGTCAGTTGTACGAGTTGCTCCTCTCCATAACTACCTCTGTACTTTCAGTGGGAATATAGGTTAAAATGGGAAGGAGGGAAGAAGGGAAGAAAGAGAAAGGCCTAGCTTGGTTATCTGGGCAAACCCTGGTTCAACCATCCCATGTAGGGAATTGAGGGTCTGAGTACCTGCTGAGTCCCCCAGGCCTCTGGTCTTGAGAGAGGTGAGCAACAGTACTTTCCCTTATGGAGTCTATAAAACTAATTGCTCCCAGGAAGTCTTGTTACACACTTGCTGTGTGCCGAAAATGCACAATATAGACAAGCCCAAAGCTGCTGTCCCTACCATGAGACATCTCCATCCACACTGGGGATTAATTTAATAGGTGGTGTCTGCTTGACCCTTTCCCCACTACTATAACAAATACCTGAGAGAATTAAGAAGAAAGGATTCTTTCTACTCACAGTTTCAGGGGTGTCTGTCCATGTGAGACGACCTCGTTGCTTTAAGACCTGTTGCTCTGCATCATGGTGGGATCCAGCAATCAAAGAGGAAGGAGATAACATTACACCATCCACTCCCAAACCTCCAGACCTTGCACCAGGCCTCACTCCCAGAAGCTGTCATCCCCTCAGTAGCACCCAGGCAGAAGGCTGAGCCTCTGGAGTGGGCTTTGGGGGACATTCCAGATACAGGCTAATGCAGAGACCTCTCTTTGGGGACAGTTGTGCAGTCAGCCCCATGGGCCCATCTGTGTCCACTGTGAATGGGGACATTCACAGTAGTAGTGGGGAAAGTGACAGTGGAGCCAGCTTCCTGGTGACTAAGGCAGCTGGTGCCTGTGGGGTATCCTCTGGACAGTGATGCTCACCCACGTAGACCAAGGCAAGCAATGTCTCTGTCCTCTCCACAGGTGGCCTGTGAGAAAACTGTGTCTGCCATGCAACACGTGTTGGACAGGACCATCCGGTGTGCAAAAGGTACCTACTCTCCTGCTCTGCCTTCATTGGAGGTTGTCCCTGTGTGGGGCTGGGCAGGAGGGAGGGGGAGCTCTCCCTTCAGCTCTGCATCCTGCTGTCTGTTAGAGTGAGGGTGCAGGTGTCAGTGTGGAGCCCCTTCTGAAGCAGGGGCTCCCCTGTGGGCAGGAGGGGGGGCCTCAGGCTGCATCCCACCTTCTCTAATCTTGCCTGTGTCCCTCAGCTCAGGCAGGAGAGGGACAGAAGCCCAGCCCGGCTCAGCTGGAGCTGAGGATGGTCCAGAGCAAAAAGGACATCGAGGACCCTGAGATCATCGTGCAGGCCACCGTGCTGTGAGGGCCGTGGACTCGCCTGACACAGCAGCGTGCTGGCTGGGGTCTCCTTTTCCATCCCTGTGAGAGCTGTGAAGTCTGCCTTAGAGCCATGACTGAAACTTAACATTGTGTTCCCTCCTGAGGGTCGTGCCTCAGCCTGTCTCAATCCTGACAATGTGCCATCATTGCCTTTTAATATAATAACAAAGCTGTCACAGAAAGATGTGACTCAGAAACATGGCCCCTTCCCCCTCTCCCAAGGCCGTGGGCCTCCTGACTGCCTCATGTAGACTCACAGGTATGTGGAAGGTAGGTGGAGGAGGCAAGCCTGCGGCCGTGGACGCTTCTGTTGGCTGCCATTGCCCCTAGTTCCCTGACTGTGCTGGGACCGGGCCTGCAGGCACACTGTCTTTAAAATTGGGTTAGGTCTTAACCATTGGCATCTGGAAGAATTATGCCAAATGTCTTCATTGCCATTCTGGTCTTACCCTTGTCCCTGCATTAGTTTCTGTGTGTCTCTGCTGCTCTTAGTGTCTCCCAGGACGTTGGACTTATGCGACTGTTGTACTGTGTGGGAAGAAGGTATATATCCTCATGCTTCGGTAGGCACACAAGCATGTTGTCACTGTGACAGGGACCTTGTAAAGGCCCTCAACATTGCAGAGGATCTTCAAGCCTCTTGGGTATCAGCAGGATCTCCTATAACTTGGGACCAACTTCTGAGAAACTGACCAACATAGGGGTCAGCTGCTGAGGCTAAGGTGGCTTGGGAAGTTCAGGAAAGTTGCCACACTGGGCTCTTGCTGGAGACACACCCTGTACTGTGAGGTGGTACTGCACTTGAGAAGTACTGCTGGGGACAGTACATTGCTGCAGACATGTTTGGACAGACAGGGAAGGAGAGGCAGAGGGGGCTCCTGCCCCCTGGTGGCATACTTAATCCTGGGTCCTCTCCCCAATTCTGTATTCTGTGCGCACCACATGCCGAGGAGCAAGAGGCCCTTATGTGAAGCTGGCTAGCTCTCTGCTCCCTTGGCAGTCCTGGTCCTATAGAGAGTATGTTGGCACTGCGGGTGCAGGGGCAGCCCTTAGACCCCTGCAGAAGACTGGGACATTTTTCTTTCCATTGCTCAAGTGTGGCTTTCCTGGCTGTACATCCTAGAGTTTAGATCCTAAGTCATAGCTGTGAGGGGCTGTCCTCATATGATTTTCCCGAATCTCAGTATGCATGTCTGTTTCCCTGAGAATTGCCTCTTCTGAGAAGCCACAGCCTAAGGAGAAATGGAGAGTGAAGAGGTGGGGACCCCTTTGTGTCCTCATAGGGGCACCGATTCCCGTGGGTGCCTGGTTGCAGCCTGCAGGCAGGCCTCTGAGAGCCACACCCTACCTTAACATGGTCCAGTGTTCCCCTTTCCCAGTTTAAGTACCCTAGATGGAGGAGACACTGGTCAAATGGACTCCCCCACTCCAGCTCCACTTCCTCAGCAGCCTGTATCCTGAGCTTCTCACCTTTCTGGTTACAGGCTGCAGGATGGCTCAGCAGGTACAGCTGCCAAGTCTGACAACCTAAGGGCCCCACATGGTGAGAACAGAAAACTGATTGCTGTACATTGTTCTCTCTCTCTCTCTCTCTCTCTCTCTCTCTCTCTCTCTCTGTGTGTGTGTCACACACACACACACACACACACACACACACACACTAAAATAAATGTAATTTTAAAAATTACCTTGTCCTTCATTACCCCAGGCCAGGATAGCTAGCTCTCTGGTATGTGTCTTCTGGTTTCTGAGCCCCAATTATTGCTGACCAGAAGAAGGAAAGCCATGGCCAGCAGCCTGGAAGAGAGGAACAACATTCCCTAAGTCAATGGAAAAGCCCATCACTGTCCCCCAGAGAGCAGGAACACCACAATGCCAGCAATGAGGAAAACTTCCTTTTCCCACTTGGAGTGTTGAGACTGCACTGGAGCTGGTACTGTTGGTGAAGTACTCACCATGCAAACACGAGGACCCGAGTTCAGTCCCCAGCGCCTCAGTGTGGTCCTGCAGTGTGCATCCATAAACTCAGAAGCAGGGAAGCAGAAACAGGAAGATGCCTGGGGCTCTGCTGACAGTGTTCCCCTGGTAATCTCCAGGTTCAGTAGGAGAGACCCTGTCTAAAAAGAACAAGCAGAGAGCAGTAAAGGAAGACCCCAGATGCTGACCTCTGGCTTCACACAGTTATGCTCACAATGAAGGATAAGTTCTGGCCTAGGGCTGAGGAAAGCCTGTGTGTGGGGGATGAGATGTGAAGACCTCCCTAGCAGAGCAGTACTGCATGTGGAGGTTTTCTGTGTGCTGGGTCTTCACGACCACACTCTGCAAACACACCAGGAGAGCCTTAGCCCTTCACTGTAGCCCAGAGCTAGTGGGCTGGGGAAAACCCTTTCTTGCTTACACAGCATGTGAGTGCTCTCCTCTCATGAGGACTTCCCCTAAAGTCCTGAACTTGGTGTGTTCTGAATTGTCCTCCTGTGTCACAGCCTTGGAGCCCAGGGGACAGAGGGCACAGGCTGTGGGTCAGGCATGTGACTAAGGAACAATTAGTGCTTTGATCTTGGGGCCTGGGCTGAAGCAATGCTCACCACAGAAACGTCTGCAGCCTGCCTGCCGGCAAGCACAGGGTCTGCTGCCTGTGTATCCAAATCAGAATTGCCTTACTCTCACTCTCCTCAGTTTGGTTATGAAATGATGTACTTGGAAATGAAGCTGTGTTAGCTCAGTGTTGCCTGCTTCCTCCCGGGGACGCCCTTTGATACTGTCTTAGTCCATCTCCTTCAACCTCCTGGGTGACTAAGAGGAAATTCTGACATCTCATTCTTTTGAAATCGTTGCCTGGCCCTGTTAGACAACCATGTGCCTCTATCTTACTTTTGCATTATTTTAGTGATTGTAAAAATGACACCGTGCTTTTCTTCCAGTTGGGAGAACCCAGTTTTTAAAGGCTGCTTGATTGTTCATTGGGAGTGGCCAGGGACAGCTTCACTGTGCTGAAGAGAGGTATTGAAAGGAGGGGACTGTGTGCCACATAGGTGTGTCCCCAATATGATGTCGTCACCACCATCTGGGGTAAAAGAATAGCACTGGGTGTTAGAGTTAAGGTCCTCTGCTATCCCTGTTGAGTAATTTAGGGTCCTCCTGAAGGAGGGAGGCAGGTTGGCCGGTGCAGCACTGAGTCCTTGCTGTGCCCCTGGCCACCTCCTGACCCCATTGTCCAGTGTCCAGCTCCCATTGATTCAAACCTTATATTGTCTAGCTGAAAAGTATAGATGAAAGAAGTGAATGTATTTTGGAACTCTTTGCTTCCTTCCTGCCCTCTGAGTGATCACTTGACTTGGTCATGCATCTGGTCTATACTCACTCAGTTCTCAGAAGCCCAGTGACCCAGAGAGGGGACAGGCAGGGCCACAGGCTTTGGTGGTTGCATTAAGATTCCATGTGTCCTCTAGAGGGTGCTGCAGTCCAGAGACAGCTTTTATTGCTGTCCCTCTGCCAGTTGGGGTGCTTCTCTTCCAGTCATCCATGTGGCTGCTTGTAGTGAGAGGTTCTTGAAAGCCAGGTCTGTGCAAGTGACAGATGGATGATGACCTCAGGGCCCTAGTGGATGCCTAGAAAAGTAGTGGTGGGTTCACTTTAAGTTTCTTCATAGAACTGTGGGTTCTGTAGGGTAGGCTTGAACCTGGTCCCAGCAGTCTGAGTGGATGCTGCTCTCTGATGGCTTGAATGACAAAGGAGCGCCCTGGAGAGGAGGCACAGCTGGACATGCATGTGCCAGTCTGTTCATTTCCTACACTTCCTGTGACAGCTTCAGGTGGTGCCTGGCCAGGCATTTGCAGGTTCCAGTCCTGTGGAATCAAGAAGGGGAGATTTCTGCCTTCTGTTGCACTTTCAGCCTCCACCAGTAGGGGGTGCAGTGGGGACATCGCCGTGTCACCTGTGCAGCAGATGCTGGTACCAGCAGGTCAAACAGCAGTCCCCAAGCTGGGAGAGTTGGTAAGAGTGTGTGTGTGTGTGTGTGTGTGTGTGTGTGTGTGTGTGTGTTTAGATCTTTGTGTTAGGATCCAGACTTTGGTGCTGTTTGACACCCTACAGTTAAGTAGAGGCTCAGTGTGTCCCCAATCCTTGCAGGACATCCCAGGAAGCCATGGCTCAGTCAGCAAGGTCAGACTGACAGTTCCTGAATTTGGGTGCATTCTGTAAAATGTGAGTCTCCTTGTTGACTTTTATTTATTCTTGTTGCAGTGGTTTACCATGCAAAAATTAATTTAAAATAATGTCTTATATGCCATATTCTCCCTTCATGGTACCCTAGGGTGTTTATTTGCTTAAAACCAGATTTTTTTTTTTAAGATTTATTTATTCATTATGTATACAGTATTTGGTCTGCATGTATGCCTCCAGGCCAGAAGAGGGCACCAGATCTCATTACGGATGGTTGTGAGCCATCATGTGGACGCTGGGAATTGAACTCAGGACCTCTGGAAGAGCAGTTCAGTACTCTTAACCTCTGAGCCATCTCTCCAGCCCCCTTAAAACCAGAATTTAACGAGTAACTTTAACACTATGGAATATTTTTATAATAATGGAAAATTTTTGCCTGGCATGGTGTTGCACACCTATAATCTTGAACCCTAGGGGCTGAGACAGGAGGATAGCTATGAAGGAATATTGTGTCTTTAAACACACACACACACACACACACACACACACACACACACACCCACACAGTTTTTTTCCTGGTAAACACAATTTAAAGCTTCCACAGTATTTGAGTCAGGCAGGTGCATGTGCTCAAATCAGGAGGTCCCCCCCCTTTTTTTTTGACAGTGTTTCTCTGGTTAGCTTTAACTTTCATAAAATTCACTCTGCACTGTAGACCAGGCTGACCTTGAACTCATAGAGATCCACCTGTTCTGTCTCCTGAGTGCTGGCATTAAAGGTGTGTGCCATGACCACCAGGCTCATTTCCTATGTCTTAGCCACCCCACCTGGGGCTGAGCCCTGGGAAACGCCCACTTCAGGGTGGTGATGGTGAGCTGGTCTTCCTTGTGCCAGCATCTGCTCTTTTTTCTTCCTAGCTCACTGTAGGCACTTTCTGGTGTTTCTGTGACAAGATACACATTCCAGGTGTAAAGGTCTCCCTAAGACATGCTCCCTCAGCTCTCAAATAGAGAGCTAGGGCTGCTTTCTCCCTTTGGCTATATGGGTGGAAACAGGGGAGAGCCTGCCACTCAGCCCTCCAAGATTGGAAGCTCCCAGAAGGCCTTGGGGTGTAGCCATGGCCATGCCTCACCCATTCTATAGAGCCAGCAGAGCCCAAGAAAGGCAGGCTGAGATGTTGGGAAAACCATGGCCGCACCTCACTGCCTGCCTTGCAGGGTCTGGCGGTCCCCCATGAAGGCAAGTGGAGGAGCCATCATCTTTAGTGTGACCTGGTTTGTTGCCATGGAAGTCTCCGAGCTATATGCTCATGAGGACCTGGTTCATGCCTGACATGAGGAGGGTATGCTCTGGGGGTGACTGGACAAATAGAAGACCCAGAGGCTTAGCACATCCTTGTAGTGTCCCACAGAGCAGAAAGGCAGAAGCCAAATCCCCTCAAAGCTCAGACCGGGCCAATTACCATAAAACACCTAAGACCCCTTGGATTTTGGTAGGCATGGATGTCAATATTTTTGTAAATGGAGTTGAATTCAACACAGCTCTTGAAGGATGAGACATGGGTGACCTCTTGAGTGCTCTTAGCTTCATAGCTGCCTAATTCCTGATATAGACCTTGTCAGAATTTCACCTATGTGTTGCAAACCTGGACCAATCTGAAAACAGACTGCACCTCTGGGGCCAGCCTGACCCTACTATTCCTTCCCAGAGACCTCAACTCTTTGGAGGTCCTAACTGTTAGAGTAAAGCACAGCTGGCCCCCAAGCCCCTGCTGTACAGGAGGCGGAGGCTCTGGGCTTAGGTGGTCTCTGGTCCAAGTCCTCCAGCCCTGTGTACTGTCCCTTGTCAGTGCGTCTGTAGACAGGAGCACCTGTCAGCATGGTGTAGCTGTGTCTGTTTTGTGCTGGTCTGTCGACCTCTATGATTATCCACAAATAAATATTTTCATTGCAGATGTGTTTGTGATTATTTCTTCCTAGCCTGCCCCCTGGGGTTCCTGATTAAATAGGTGGCAACTAAAACACCCATCAAAGGAAAGTGTGTTCTTGTTCCCACCTATGGTGGCGCCCAGCTCACCCTTCACTCTCTCCTGTCTGGTGTTTTAGGGCCAGTCCTGAGTCTTCCAGCAGGATTCTGGGGTGGGAGCTTAGAGACAGAAGACCCGTCCTGTTGCTCCTTGCAAGATTCTGAAGATCGGTCATTGGCTAAATGTCCAACATCCCAGTTGTTAGTGAGCTCTGGTGCCACCTGGCACCTTGACACTTGACAGTGACACTGAGTGCTGAAGCTTGGGAACATGACCATAGCTCACCTGTGCACTTAGGTGTAAATTGTGGAGCAGTTCAGCAGTTGCCCTGAAGGCAAGGGGTGGGGGGCTGGGTTTAGGTCCCTGAGTTCCCATTTGGTCAATCACTGTCAGAGAGAACACGGGCCCATGCAGGAAGCTGACAGGGACAGAGCAGTGACATAAACTGGTGACAAGTGTCCTGTGACCACTGCCCTGCTTCCCATGAAAGGCCACCTCTGTTTATGTAAAGCCGTGGAGGCCAGGTGTATACAAATGGGATGTCAGCGCTGGCTTCTTCTGAAGGCACAAGAGAGTGCCACCTTTTCTATGTATAAGGCTGAAGCATCCTTGGCTTGGGGCCCTTCCTCCATGTTTGAGGACAGAAACGGCATCTTCCATCTCTCATGACTCTGACCTTCCTGTCTCCTCCTAATGTATGACACTGGACCACTCAGCAACCCAGGATCACCTAGCTCTTGAGATCTTCAGTTTGATCTCATCATTAGAGCCTGTTGGCCATGCCAGGTACCCTCTCTGCAGGTTCAGGATATGGGGCATCTTTGGAGGACATTCCTCAGTGGGCTACAATCTGAGACAAGGTGGGACACGGTGGAGTCTTGACTTGGTCATCTCTCCTCTCCTGGGTCCTGAATCATACATCCCACAGAGGCTCAAAGGCAATCTCACCCAACTCAAGGTCTCCCCTAGTTAGGAAGAGAGGCTGGCTTCAAGCTTCAGGGAGTTCAAGTTGGTGCCTGGACCTGTACATGTAGTCCAAAGTGTCCAATCAGTAATGAGGGAGATGCTGTCCCTGGATGCTGTGCCCAGGGGCAGTATATGGCTAGACCTTATAGGCTAGGCTTGATAGTCTCATGATACCTAGTAATTCACAAGTCTGGCTGGCTTATTATAAAGTCTGGGGACCTCTTTTCCCACCTTTCTTCCCCTTCTGTCCTGTGCCATTATATGTTAGATGAATGTGATCTGCTTTTTGATTTTGATTTTCAGGGGATTACAGTTAAGAGATTGTATGAATCTCAGAACAGACTTTGAAATTTAGATTTTTAAATGAGTTTGAGACTTACCGACTATGGGGCCTTTTAAGCTGGACTGAATTGATTTTTTCATTATGATATGGCTACAAGCCTATGGGGTCAGAGAGATGGTCAATGCTCTCAAGGAAGACATCCAAAGCTGTCCTCTGGCTTTTATATGCATGTACACAGGTGCACAAATACCCTCTGCACACACTTAGGTTGTGAATAAAAGAGGCAGGCTGGGTGTGGTGGCACATGCCTTTGATCCAAGCACTCAGGAGGCAGAGGCAGGTTAATCTCTGTGAGTTTGAGACTAGCCTGGTCTACCTAATGCGTTCTAGGATAGCCAGAGCTGTGTAGAGACCCCATCTCAAAAAAAAAAGAACAAACAAACAAACAAACAACAAACAGATAAATGAATAAGTGAGGCATACAATTGTTTACGGAGTCTCTACCATGTGGTCTGTCAACTTTTACAAGTTAGAACTTTCCCCTTTTCTCTTTAGTTTGGATTCCTGTTGTTGTGCAAAGACACAATGACCAAAAGTAGCTCGGGGAGGGAAGGGTTTAATTTAGCTTACAGCTCCACATCAAAGTTCATCATTGAGGGAGGTCAGGGCAGGGTCCTGGAGGGAGGGGCTGATGTTGAGGCACTGGAGGGATGCTGCTTACTGGTTTGCTCCCCATGGCTTGCTCAGCCTGCTTTCTTAGAGCATCCAGGACCACCTGTCCAGGGATGGCTATACCCACAATGGGCTTGCCCACATCAATCACTAATTAAGAAAATGCATTACAGACTTGCTTATAGATCAATCTTTTTGTTTGTGTTTTTCAAACTATAATAAAATTGTCCCTGAGCTTCAAAAAGAA